CTTCATTCCATTCATATGCACATTTCTTCTTTATCTTCCTAGTCCTCTTCAGTGTCACCAGTATATCAGTATTCTTTGAAAACCAGCTCAGTGTCAGGATCACAAAGGAAATCCTATATGATTACCGTAAACCGTCAAGGGTTTATAATCTAAAAACGGTGACAGAAAACTCCAATAAAAATAAAATCCCCGAGTACCGAGGCATGTTAACATAGAAACATAACCAGGCCATACCAGGAGATGTAGAAAAAGTAATGTTGCTAGTAATGAATAGAAAGTCATTACCAGTCCCTTCTCCCAAATGCATAAAAAAGAGACCTTGCCCAACTTAAAGCCTAGTAACATTTAAGCATAAGGACATATCATTAGTTATGATTCAGAAGACACATTTGTTTAAAATAATCACCTTCTGGTGATTGAACCCTTAAGGAAAGTGTCAATGTCTTCATCTAATACTGCTATAGCCTCATAGCTTGAAAGGGTTAATGTAACTTTCAAATCCTTACCTCATACTTAGTAGTGGTCCCGGATTGGAGAGGATTTGCTTTGTTAAACCAGGCTCTTTCTTTCTCTTATTCTCCTTCCTCTTCTAGAAAAGGAGCAGACCACTGTTCCCAGGTGATTGGAAGGGTGGGTCTTTGCCCCAAGTAAGGGCATTCACAAGTTGGGCACTGGTTAGCATTTGAGGGAAGGTTGCCAGATTTAGCTAATAAAATACAGGAGACTCAATTAAATTTAAAATGTCATATAAACAAATAGTTTTTCTTTAGTACAAGTATGCCCCATGCAACATAAATATGCAATGTAAATTTAATATTGCATGGTACATACTTACACTAAGAAATTATTCATTGCTTATCTGAAATTCCACTTTAACTAATTTGGCATCTACATCAGGCCCACCTTTGAAAATACCAGCTGAGACCCAAGGTAGACTGGGGAGAAGCAGTTTTTCACAGTCTTGTGTTTCTTTGCCCTAATGTTGTTGATCCTCTGTAGTCAGACACCCAGCTGAACTGATGCACATGAGCTCAGTGCCTGCTTCCCAGCCAACACACACCTGGCGGGGAACCACTGACCCAGAGATGCTTCTCCTGTGAGGAGGCAGCAAGGGAAAGACTTACTGACTGTACCTCTTCTTCTGTCTTGAAGAGAAAAGCAAATTAGCTCTTTTGATTTCAAATTTAATTTTATATATATTTAAAAATGTTTTTGGAAAAAAACCTAAAAAAACAACTTATAGTAATCATTGATAATATTATAAATAATATTTAATACTAATGGAAAATGTTCATCATATAACAAATGGAAAAAGATTAGATAATAGTATATTCAGTATGATCCTGGTTTTTGTTTTTAGAAGTGCATTTATGTAGAGAAAAAAACTTACAGGATATACATCAAATGTAGGCCTAGAAATTTGGATGATTTAAAAATTTCTTTCGTCTGTATTTTCTAAATGTCTTTTAACAAGCATACTACATTTGAAATAGGGAAACTAAGAAATTAAGATTTTTTAAATTATAAAATCGTCTTTTGAAAGAATTTTTGTAGTTAAATTTAGTTTCTATAATGCTCTTATCTTGAAGGATTAACAGAACCCAGGTTTTAGAGCTGAAAATAGACTGAGTGACAAGACCAAATGGCTCTTCCAATAAATGTCATGAGATTTGTCTGTCACAAAATAGGCAAGGTTTTAGTGACTTCCCTAAGAGGCTGCCCCTGGCCCTGTGTCTCAGCTTGGAAAGTTGGGTCAGCGATTTCATTCAGTTACCGGTTATTATGCATTGAGAAGCTCTGTGAGGCCTCTTTATAGTATATGATACTTCTAATGTATTTGAGCCAAATATTAAGGTCGCTTTCTTGTTCCTCTTTATAGTATATAAAATGTTTTGGTTTTTCATTAGAAAAATGAGTCATTTGACATTTGTGTTGTTTTTATACAGCCGATGGAAAATGTCTGGTGTCGGTTGGTTTAGACGATTTTCACAGTATTGTGTTTTGGGACTGGAAAAAGGGAGAAAAGATAGCCACAACAAGGTAAGAAGCTGCTGAGATCTGACACGTCCTGCTGATTGTCACACATCAATATACGTCAATAGTTTTCATTTTCTAGTAAGATTTCATCTTCAAACTCAGATGAAATTCACCTAGAAAGGTTTACACCCAAATGAAACACAGTGCAACATTTCATAGTGCCACCCTCACCTTGAGCAGTTAATATTTGTTTCAGGGAATTGGAAAATTCTGAAATTTTTTCCAAGGAGTTAGTTATTCATCACTTTGCTTTTAGTAATATATGCATTAGTTATAGCAAAGCTTTTTCCGAGCAGTAAAAAAGCAGCTTTTCTCGGGCTTGTGCCTTGCCCCTTGTTTTTCCACAGTCTTAGCATCTGGTGAAGGATTGTCAATGTCACTGGAGTCAGAAGTACCATTTGTCATGAGGCTGTGGCATGCTGGAAAGGAGGCCCCATCGTGTGCATCTGCCACTGCTTTCAAAGCAGGCAATTGTTGCCCTGATCTCCCCGTCTTATAAATAGACTTTTCAAGACCTACTGCTGTTCATAGACCACCTGTCCTCCCTTACCCCAGCCACCTGCCCTGCTGAATCAGCCCGAAGTCTGAACGTTATTTTCCACTACTACTAGTACTGGGCTTAGCTGTTTGCCAGCTGTGGTCAGAGGTCAAAATAGTTGGCAGCCAAGGCCTAGCAATACAATTTGTTGCCCAAGGTGTGTTATCAGTGTACCTCTCTACTAGTTCTTCCCTGCATTAACCAACTTACTTTTTCTATTTTGCAATATAAAATCATTTTTAAGTGAATGGTTTTGAACCCCATTATTCACTTTTAGTTAATAGTTCCCTCCACAATATTAAGTGGGGGGTGGGTGGGAAAGGTTGTGTGGTTTTTTTTTTGGTTTTTTTTTTTTTTGGCAATTTGGTGTAATGAATGAAGACCTATGAATTGCTGGAGACTTAGAGGAGGAGCAGATGGAGCCTTGATGACTCCAGCTGACTATCTTAAGAGAGAAAAAAACCACTTCTGATGACTGCTATTGAAATGGAATTCTTGGCAGCAAATGACAGCTCATACATCCGCCTGCCCAAGTGATTTTTCTCTTGGTCTCTTTTTACTATTTCAAACTGCTGTATCACTCTCCCCTAGTATTCAGATTTAGCTCCTAGTAAGACTCTGCTTTCCTTCTAGACAAACTGAATTTTCGTTTAATATTTCTGATAATATACTATCTGCATTAATAGGTAATTTCAGGCAAAGTATATATCTGCATTTCAAAAGCAACAGAAATGCAATTTTCCTGCTAGAAAACCCTCTGCAACTGAGTGCCTCACCAGTTGTATGCCAGAAACAAATAGAAATAGAAGGAAGCAATATTTATTAATAAAAAAAGTATATACCCGATATGCATGGTAGTGTTACTTTAATGAACACAAACTGGCTTAACACTATATTATGTTAATGACACAATTTATTTTTGGAATTACTCCCAAGGTTTAAGTCACATTTTCAAAACAGGACACCTGCAGAATTTCCCTCAGAGAACATTTTGCAATTATAATATTAACCACTGCTCTTTACGAAAAGGAATGTGTCAAGGATTGTTAAAGTTATTTGGAAGAATATTAGGTTTTGAAATGATAAATAATGAATATGTACATAAATATTTATATAATAATAAATTTTATATAAAAAATAACCAGAAAAAAAACAATTCCACTTATAGCCTTAAGTTAGTGTGCTTAAGTAGATAAAAACTTTAAAAACAGACATGAAAGAAGTGACAAAGAAAAATAAGTACTACTTTACCAATGGTACTCACTGACTTCTGGGAATCATCACAGCTCCTGAGAGGGCCGAATGTACTCTCAGAGCACGGCTCACTCAGTGATACCCTTCATTTTGCAGTCCATGTCTCAATCATTGCCAGCATTGTCACTAGGAAGGCTTAACAACAAACCTGCTTCTGACAGGTTGCGTTGTTCTAGCAGAGAGATTGTTCTACAACATGCCCATCACTCAGGATGCGAGATTTCCCCAAGGGGGAGGGACATAGTTGGTAACCACGATGGCAGGTCCAGGGCTAATAATGTGTGCCACTTGCACAGTATTGCACTCTCAAAAGTTGTCCCTCCATTGTAAAAATATTTAAATGAACCTACTTTTTATCAGCTCAGAAAAATTAGAGAAATTCGGAATTGGCACATAGAGACCTTATTACAAGATCTCTATGAGCCTTGATCCAATCTATCTGAACAATTTCTTTGCATTTTTGCTATTTTTCATGAATTCAGTTATATCCATTACAAATGAAATTTTTACTCTTTTTTCCTCTTAAATGTTGTTCAGATTATAGTCTAATATATAAGTAACCCATTTAAAAACCAGGGTCAATCTTTTTGGGCAGTAGTTAAGTGGCTTAATGGCAGCGTCAATCAGGGCAGAATAATGAGATAATCAGGTGCTTTTATGCTTCTTTAGTTGGAATTTTATTGCACTGGGAACATGACTATGGGAGAGAATGACTGTTATTGACCTGCTTCATCTCAGAAGTTTAAACAGTAGGGATCTTAGGTAAAATCTAGAGTTATCAAGGTGCCTAACAAGAATACTTCCAATGTTAGTATGAGATAGTTATGCTACTAGAAAGCTTGGGGACAAACATAGGCCCGCAGAGAGCAGCAGGCACATAGAGCTTCAGAGCATGCATTCCTGTATTAGCTTTGTTGTTTGAGCCATTTTAGGCCCTTACCCTTGCATATATTTAGTAAATATCATAAAGTCTCCTGCACACCAAATCAGCACCTTTTCTTCTCACTGTTTTTTAAGTGTGTATCTCTTTAAAAATAACAGATATTAATCTTTTTTCTGTTTTCAAAATAATACACGATCATTATAGAAAAGTTAGAAAGCATAGAAAACAGCCGGGAAGAAAATGAAAATCATCTGTAATTCCACTACCCAGACATAGCTGTGGCCAATATTTTAGCATATGTTCTTTAGTATATATTCTTCTAGTATTTCTATCCATTTTAATTTACATATGGGATATTATACATACTGCTCTATAACTGGCTTTTTTTCCCCCCACTCACTAATATTTTATCTCATTGTCTTCTAATTTATGTTACCTGGCTTATTCTGTATTATTATTCTATATAGTAATCCAGTTTAAATATTTTTTGGAGACAAGGTGTAAATCAAACATTCATTCAGTCTTCCTGTTAGGGATACCTTCCCAAAGAAAGAGCAAACCAAATCACACATAGGACTGGGCCTCTATCAAATGAAAGGGCTCAGGATAGAAGATTCAGAAACCAATTTACCTGGCTAGCTGCCCTTTGCTTCTAGAAGAAGCACATTCCTTCCTTCTTCCCCTGCGCTTGCTGAGATTTTAAATGTGGCCTCTGTGGTGGATTACTTACAACTCAGGAATGAAGAACTGTCCTGTATTAGGTTAATAAATAGTAGAGAGTCTTCTACATTCTTATTCTCTCACTTTAGGACCTGGAGCTTTTTCCATTTTGTTTTTCTTACACACACAATTGTAGGCAACTACCCTACAGATTTAATAAGCGTCTAAGGGGAAAAAAAAACAAAACAGGAATCCAATGAATGTCATTTATTTAGAAGTGGATATTAATTAAACATTTACGTGCCATCAGTTGTCAGTTTAGAACTTTAGCTACAATGGAAACAACATCGGTGTTTTTTGACACTAAGAAATTAGATGGAAACTAAAAAGTGCTCTCAAAAGAGATTTTTCTATTTAAATGTTTGACATTGTACAGATACAAGAAAACAATGCTCTTTTCTATCTAGGAAATGTAATATGTTATATCTGTTCTCAATTTTCGTCTCATTTTCTTTAGCATCTTCTCTCTAAAATATATCTTAATGATTTGGAATCCATGGGGATTTTCCTCCAACCAAGAAATCCTTGGATGCTTAATGTCCTTTATGGTTACCTAGTCCACTTCTCTTTGTGCTAAGCACATTTTCTTTTATCTAAGCCATTTCTCTCTGTCCTAATTGTTCCTGATACATCCAGTGATGTATCTTGGCCCTAGTGTTCCTGCTTTACTTATGATTTTCAAAGAAACAGAGTTCAAAAATCAGTTCCTTCTTCTTTCCTGCCTCTCACTATAATAAGCCTCACATAATGGGTATGGAGATGATCTGTTCTGTTCTTTTGTTTTAGCTTTTCATTACTAAAATTTTCAGAGTTACACAAAAGTGGAGAAAATATCATAATGAACTCCCTTGTACCCATCACACAGCTGCAACATCCTACGAATGGTACAAATCTCTCCCCCCTCACTTCTTTTCTTTGACTTTCTCTTTTGTTACAATATTTTAAAGAAAATTCAAGACATCATTTAATTTGACCTGTATATATTTCATTAGGTATTTCTAACTGAAAAGACATTTTTGAAAACCACCATTCTATTATTGCAACTAAAACAATAGTAATTTCTTTCTTTCATCCATTACCCAATTCATAATCAAACATTTGTGATTGTTTCAAAGGCGAGAGTTAGTTTGTTCAAATCTGCATCCAAACAAGGCCCATGTATTGCATTTGGTCATTTGGTTATTATCTCTTAAGCCTTTTTTATTTTATAGTCGCCCCCCCACACACACCTTTTTCATGCCATAGATGCATTTGAGGAACGGGGTCATTTGACCTACAGAATATTTCACATTCTAAACCTGACTGATTCTTCATGGAAACATTTTAGGCATTCTCCTGCATTTTCTGTAAAGGGTAGTTAGATCCATAGGCTTGATTAGATTCATGTTCAGATTTTTTTTAAACAATGTTGTTAATAAATCACATACCATACAATTCACAATTTAAAGTATACAGTTCAATAGATTTTAGCATATTTACAGAGTTGTGCAATCATCACCACTAATTGCAGAATACTTTCACCACCCCAGAAAGAAACCCCACACCCATTAGCATTAATCTATTTTGTCTCTATGGATTTTTGTATTCTGGACATTACATATAAATGGAATCATACGATATGATCTCCTTTGTGATTGGTTTCTTTCATGTAGCGTAATGTTTAAGGTTCATCTGTGTCATAGCCTATATCAACACTTTATTTTTTATTGCTGAATAATATTTCATTGTGTGGATCTATACCACATTTTGTTTATTCATTCATCAGCTGATATTTGGGTTGTTTCCACCTTTTGGCTATTACAAATAATGCTGCTATGAACATTTGTGTACAAGGTTTTGCGTAGACATGTGTTTATTTCTCTTGGGTATATACCTAGGGGTGGAATTGCTGGGTTATTTGGTAACTTTAGTTTGGCATTTGAGGCACTGCTAAAATATTTTTCTAAGTGACTATACCATTTCACATTTCCACCAGCAATGACTAAAGTTCCAATCTCTCCGCATACTTAACAACTGTTATTATTGTCTGTCATTTTCCTTATAGCCATTATAGTGGGTACGAAGTGATGACTAATGATGTTGAGCATCTTGTCATGTGCTTACTGGCCATTTCTATATCTCCTTTGTAGAAATATCTATTTAAATACATTGCCTATTTTTAGTAGGATTATTTTTTATTATTGAGTTGTAAGAGTTTTTTAATATGTTCTGGATACAAGTTCATTATCAGATATACGTTTTACAAATATTTTCTCCTACATGCAATTTTTTAGAAAAGAATACTTGAGATGTACTTCATTTTTCATCACATTGGAAGAAACGTAATCAGTGGCATACTAGAAGGTGGGGGCAGTGGGAGTAGTATTTCAAAAGTGCAAGCAATAGGGCTGTATTATCTGTAGAAGACTTTTTAAAGAATAAAACCAGCTAAAAGCCAGTTTGCTTTTTATTATTACCATGAGCAAGCACTTCTAAACAATGTCAGGTATGGAATTTCTCTCTCCCAGGACACCCCCTTGGTACACTGCTGTGTGAAATGTCTAGTTGTCCTACTCTTTAGTTAGCTCAGTTATGGGTTCTAGTAATATCAGCCCGATATTATAACGCTTACCATCAGCACATTATCAGCCCAATATTATAACGCTTACTAGCAGCACATTATCTACTGGTTGCAGCATCCATTTACAACTATGGACTGAATTAATTAATTAGGAGTTGAAAATTATAATTTTCTAATTCTATCATTCATTCTTCATATTAGCTAGAATTCTTCTATAAATAAGGATTTTCCCTCATCAACCATTTGGTTTCTCTAAAATATAATACACACAGAAAGTAGTTCTTTAAAAATTAGAGTTATTTGTCCTTTGTCTATAACTTGCAGATATTTTCCCCAGTTTGTCGTTTGTCTTTTGATTTTGTTATGGCATTTTTCATCATGAAAAAGGTTTTTTATGTGGTAAAAATTTTTCAGTCTTTTAATGCTTCAAGACTTTGAATCATAGTTAGGAAGGTATTCCCCATTCTTAGGTTAAAAGGAAATCACTCATAATCTCTCTTAATCTGCTATAGCTTCATCTTTACATTAGTCCTCTAAACCATTTGGAATTTATCTTAGTATCTATTATGAGGAACAGATCTAATTTCATCTTTTTTCCATTTGGCTATCAGGGTGTTCCAAACACCATTTTTCTTTTCCCTTTTAAATAGACGTTATTTATTTATTTATTTATTTTTAGAACAGTTTTAGGTTCACAGCAAAACTGAGCAGAAAGTACAGAACTTCTATGTACCCCCTCCTCCCGCCACCCACAGCCCCTCCCATATCACCACCACCAGAGTGGCACATTTATTGCAATAGATAAAGCTGCATCAATGCATCATTATCACCTAAAGTCCGCAGTTTACATTAGGGTTCATTCTTCGTGTTGTACATTCTACGAGTTTCGATAAATGTATAATGACATGTGTCCACCATTATAGTATCATACAGAATAGTTTCACTGCTCTAAAAATCCTTTGTGCTCTGTCTATTCATCCCTCCCTCCCCTCTATCTTGGCAACCAATAATCTTTTTACTGTCTCCATAGATTTGCCTTTCTAGAGTGTCATTTAGTTGGAATCATACAGTATGTAGCCTTTTCAGATTAATTTTTTTCACTTAGTAGTATCCACTTAAGTTTCCTCCATGTCTTTTTATGGCTTGATAGCTCATTTCTTTTTAGCACTGAATAACATTCCATTGTCTGGTTGTTACAGTTTTTTTTTTTTTTTTTTTTTTCCAAATCCGTTCACCTATGAAGGATGTTTGGTTGCTTCTAAGTTTTGGCAATTATGATTAAAGTTACCGTAAACATCCATGTGCAGATTTTTGTGTGGACATAAGTTATTGACTCCTTTGGGTAAATATCAAACATGATTGCTGGATCATATGGTAAGAGTACATTTAATTTTATAAGAAACCACCAAACTGTCTTCCTAAGTGGCTGTATCATTTTTGTATTCCCATCAGCAATGGATGAGAGTTCCCGTTGTTCCACATCCTCACCAACATTTGGTGACAAACGCCTTTTATTTTAAAAATTCATCTTTCTCCATTGATTTGAGACCTGTCTTTTTTATATATTACATTTTAATATGTATTTGGGTCTTGTTCTAGATTTTCTATTTTGCCATTGTTAAGTATTGTTATCATTTCATGCACCAGTACCACCCTGTTCTAATTATGAAGTCTTTATAAATTGTTTTACTATCTAAGAGAGCTACCCTTCTCACTTTGCTCTTCTTTTACAGAGTTTGCTCGGTCATTCCTGTTGTTTTATTCTTCCACAGGAACTTTAAAATCAGTGTCTAACTCTAGATTATAAATAAATACCCAATGTTCTTTTTGGAATCAAGTTGTATTTATAAATAAAGTTATGGAGAATTGACATCTCTATGATTGAGTTTTCCAACTCAAGAACATAGGATGTGTTCCTTTTTAAAAGTCTACTTTTCTATCTTACAGATGTGTATGTGTGTGTGTGTGTGGGGGGGGTTATTTTACTCAATTTATATATTGCTCATTTCTTATTAAACTTATGCCTTGATATTTTTGTTGTTTATAGAGTCCTCTCTCCAATTATATTTTTAACTGGTTATTGAATGTATTAAGGTTATTCATTCCATATTTAATTTTATATACTGTAACTTTATTAAATTACCTTGTTTGTAGTTTTACATTATTTTCTTTAAAAATTTCTAGACATATAATTATACCCTCTGGTAACAGAAATAGTTTTACCTCCTCCATTTCAGCTCTTGTGCCTTTACTTTTTAAAATCTTATCTAATTGCATTAATTAATATATTCAATACAGTGTTAAATGGTAGTGGTAATAGTTTTGCTCATGACTTCACTGGGAATTTCATTTAGTAAGAATCTGACTTTTGAGTTCACACACACACACACACACACACACACACACACACACACACCATAAATAAGCTACTATTCCAGCACTTCCTGTCTTTAAAGAAAGCGCAATGGCACACATTTCTGGAGAGCCAGCCTGTGGGTAGTTGGTCTTGAATGAATCTGAGTTTCTCATAGTCAAAGAGTGAAGGGAAATAGCAACATCTAAGAGATAAGTCTGAAGCATCCATTAATTCCTACTTCATTGAATGTTGAGTGTTTTTAAGTTACCTTTTTAGCATCTGTGAATATAACCTAATTTTTCTCATTTATATTAATATGATAAATTATACTATTTGATTCTTTAATAAGTAACCACCCTTGCATTTGGTCATAATATATTATTTTTAATGTGTTATTGAATTCTCTTTGCTAATATTTGATTTAAGATTTTTGATATTCATAAGGGAGATTGGTCAGTCATGTTCTCTTTGTTAATTGCCTTTTTTTACATAATGAAATATATGTCCTAAATCCCAGAGAAGACCATCAAAAAGTACATTAAGACCAGGAAATCCTTAGACTCTAATGTGTTGACTCAATAAAGCAGAAACATTCCTGGCACTGTGGATTGCCAGGTCTGCAGCTTCAGATCTCCAATTGGTCCTCACTTTTATATTTGTCCTTCTGCCTCTTGGGTTATAAACCTACATTTCTGAATGCATAGCATCTGAAAGTGCCTTAAATCAAAAGATAATATCTTTTCTCTCTCCATGGATTCGAGCCAGGGGCTTCAATTTCTAATGAATAGATTTCTAGCTGAAACACTATTTAACCTAGAGTTATGACTTCCACAGTAAGAATATTACATTTGAAGCTTCTTATTAATGCTATTGCAGTGTCTTCTCCCTCCTCCTGTATGAGACCTCTATGTCCTGAGAATTACTCACAATCCTATGGTGTTGGCATTAATTTTATTTTATAGAGACATTCTGATCCATTTTAGATATTTCATTAATTTATTTAAAAAATAATTAAGTAGACTTTGGTAGCAATATTAGGGTAAGAAGAAGGGGCTCAAACATGCAAAGAAAAGTCAAAGCTCATTAATGTAGACCCTACGTGTATTTTAAGTGAATTTCTAATTTAGTTGTTTTGTTGCATGTGGTCTAATGAAAGTTAGACCAAATGCATGCTTTTGATAAAACTCTATATTATAACTTCCATCAAAACTAATTTTTTTCTTATTTGTCTCTTACAGAGGACATAAAGATAAAATATTTGTGGTAAAGTGTAACCCACACCATGTTGACAAACTGGTTACAGTTGGGATAAAGCACATCAAATTCTGGCAGCAAGCAGGTACTGTTGTTTGGGTTTTTCATTATATGTTTGAGAATTTGAAGAAAACCTTAACCGATACCTAGTCTATCTCTGCAATCGAAAATTAAAGTATGCCTAAAAGATATTCTCTTCCAAATTCACTTTAGACTGTCTAATATCTAAGCTGTGAAACTTAGAGCACTCTGTATGATGCTATGCATATTCATCAATATCTAGAAAGCTTTGGAAAATATTCCACTGTGAAAATAATTATATTTAGTCATCTATTCTGAAAGCAGTAATTATGTTGGACTACTGAACAAGAAGTAAAATAATCACTTTGGTTGAGTGAATAGAATGTTCAGTATTATGAGAGTCCCTTTATTTATCACTGAATTTAGAAAATGAATTAAATTCTGACATTGCACACAGTAGTTGGTCAAAATAAATACTCGTGAATTATAATATTGATTATAATGAGTAAATAAGCATGACAAAACATGGAACGGCATCTTACTTTTTTCATTAATAAACCACACTTTTATTATAATCGTTTCTGAGCTCAGTATCAGCTTTAGTACCTAGCCCAAGTTTATACTGGACAAAACATAAATAAGCTACCATTCCAATGCTTTCTGATCTTAAAGAAAGGATAATGATACCCAGCACGTCCGTAGAGCCAGCCTGTGTAGAATTGTCTGGCATGAGTCTGGGTTTCTCAGTGCTAGTCAGGAAGTGCAGGGAAGTGTGAACATCTACAGGAGAATCTGATGTACTTTCTCCTACACGATGATTTATTTTTCTCACCCCAAAGTTCCTGTGATAAAAATTGAGGCAAAACATATATAACATGTTTACATCTACATTCACATTCACGAAGTGTCCTAGCTCTCCCAGGCACTTAGTCACTCCTTCCTCTGGCTGGCACAGAGCTTGCACTGAACTTTCATTAGATGCCTGTCTCATTGGACTGAGATGCATATAGAGTTCTCTCTCCAGCCAGGCCTTGAAAGCGGGAACTCTCTTTTCATCCTCATACCCCACCACTGACGACTGTGCCTGCCACAAAGTAGGGATTCAATAAACATTGAATTAATGTATGAGTGAATGAGAAACCTTCTTATAATATTTTTGTTTGTGATACTTCTTGCTGTTTTCATACATCTTTCTGTATATACATAGTGTCAACACACTGGGTTTTTCATTGAAGATAGCCATTCTACATGCTCATAGAAGGTGTCACTTTTTTAAAAAGTAATAAATACTCTTGGTCTACTCCAGGTGGGGGCTTCACCTCTAAAAGAGGAATTTTTGGAAGTGTTGGAAAATGGGAAACAATGATGTGTGTTTCTTACGGGCGAATGGAAGATCTAGTGTTCTCAGGAGCAGCTACTGGAGATATTTTTATTTGGAAAGATATTCTTCTACTAAAGACAGTGAAGGCTCATGATGGGCCTGTGTTTGCTATGTATGCATTGGATAAGGTATGGTATACTTTTTTAGAATTCATTTTCCTCATCAGCTTTCTAAAATTATAAGTTAGTCTTAGGAAGGTCCACACCGAGAGACTGTGTCTAAAGCCAGTACTATCTGAACTAGAAAGTAGTCGTCATGACTGTCTTGTCAAGAGAAGACATGGCAGGGAGTACAGACATCTTTTAAATTTTCTCTTTTATTTATAATTTATGTTCAGTTTCTCCCCACTTTTTCCACATGTGTTCTTCTTGGCTCTTACGCCTTCGAGCTCCGTAAGAATTAGCACTGGGTTACATGTAGACTCACAGTAGCAGACAAGTCCTGAGAAGTATTTCAGTATTATCCTTCCTCCCCAGGGCACAATGAGCAGAGACCTGGAAGTACCAAGTGATTAGATTATCTTCCCAGCCATCAATTTGACCAACAGTTATGTTGATAACCAGTTTGTTCTTTTGTAGACAGGTTCAGCTTAGACAAGAATGTTAGAGTGAAGTCTTTTCACCAGCTCAAAGTTGTGCAAACATCACAGAGGGTACTCACAGAAACCTACATGATATAGGAAAGGTGAGATGTCCCAGCTCAGTGAGACAGGAGAAAAAAGGGATGAATTCTTCCTTCCTCTGACTTATGTTCTATTCCGGTTCCCGTACTGGGGAGGGGAATCTACTGAGTCCACCCAATTTAAATGTTAGTCTCATCTGGAAACACCCTTACACACACAGAAATATTTAATCTGAGCACCCTAGATTAGCTGGCCCGTCATATTGACACATAACATTAACTATCACATTGGCCTTCTTTCCACTCAAGCTCATCTTTATCTTGGTCTTGTCCAGCTAGCCACATGCCTTACAAGTTTTTCTTTATAAAGATCACACTTACCTTCAGTCCTACTAAAAACACTTTCTTCAATCAATTTTTCAGAAAATATCAATTTTTTATTCACTGCTAACTTGCTGGTGGGTACAAATTCATCTATGCTCTTTGCCAAAGAACTTAAGCCACCCAACACACCTAAGCTTAGCCTCATTTTGCATTTCCCTGTTTTCAGGTAAATATGCTGATTCTACTACAGAAGTAGATTCTGGGTATACATGCAACTATATGGCTGTTTTGGTCATTAAACTATTTTATTATATGTGCAGCTATATGATTTAGTTGTTAAACTTTTTTTTTTTTTAACTGGCAAACTTGTTTTTTGGTTAAACTACAAATGTTAGAAAAGATTAAAACAGAATGAAGAATTTTTGTAGGCCCAGAAGTTAATGTGAGATAACTTGTTTAAATGCTTTTATGGCTTGGTAAATTAAGCTAACAAATCATGGGAAGAGACAAGGATATCACAGTATAACTGTTAGGTCCAGGAGGGCTCCATCCCTTACCCCCGTAGTGTGGGAGCCAGACTCCTCCCTTATCTCTCATGTGGAAAATGGACCTTGCAACGTCCGGGTTGGCTGTTGGCAACAGCTACATGCTCACCTCCCATTTCACTCAACTTAGGGACTTTCCACCATTCCCTGACAATTTACCCTGCCAAAATACTCCCACTGAAAAGCCCCATATAAGTTTCAGGTCCCCTTGTATTTGGGGCTGACGCCATCTTCAGCTCAGCCTGGCTGTCACTTTGCTACAGTAAACCCTGCTAAACCCCTTCGGCCTTGTGCGTTCCTCCTTCAACAAACTTAATGATAAGATCCTGCATTTAAATTTAATTTGGGGATCAAATCTTCCTGGGTGCAAAACCCATAGTAAGGAAAAGAATATTTAATGTAATAAACTTCAAAATATTATTTCCTCGCGCACATTATTAAAATGCAGTAAATTAAATGTTTCTGAGAAAACAGAATGAATTAGTATTTTTCTTTAAAAAAAAAAGACTTTTCTAAGAACAGCTGGTATATATGATAAGTTGCCAGAAATAAAAACTAGTAAGGCCAAGAAATCATAAGCTTAGAACAAGAATAAAGATGACTGTTCAGTAAAAAATATCCAATATGTTAAGCTCTTTACTTTCCAGATTTTGTAAATAGTCATTTGGATTTTAATTACTGTGGAAATTGATGTCTACTGAACAAATTAGCAGGATGATTTTATATGAAGTGCCTAATTTACTCTTAATAATAAATAATGATGTTTTCTTCCGGAAGTAATTATTTAATTTAAAAATATTTAACAATCATTTTCATTGTGATGTTAATTATGATTCATTCAGTAGGAATATATGAGATAGCAGAAACTGCCAGGCTCTGAGGCTGGTCCTGTTCTGTCAGAACCCACTCTCTAGTCAGGGACTAGGCACAGAAACAGCCATCCAGTGTACCAAAGTGCAATGGACACACAATGAGAATGTACACAATTCTGCTAGAGGAGAAGGGGAGAGAAGATTCCAGAAAATATCATATTACTGTTATGTGTTATCATCAGATTTTTCAGTCTCTGGTACTTAGGAAGAAAACACACACAAAGCTGCACCCAAGGGGGAATCTGTTGGCGCTGGATGGGTAACTGGCTATTTTAATATGTGTGTAATTCTTCCTGTATGTGTCTTCACAGGGTTTTGTAACAGGTGGAAAGGATGGAATCGTGGAGCTCTGGGATGATATGTTTGAAAGATGCTTGAAGACGTATGCCATTAAAAGAGCAGCATTGTCCACTAGCTCTAAAGGTGCCATTCCCAAACATACAATAGAAATATTTTGGGATGGAGACAGTAGTTCTGATGTTCTTGGAAAAAACATGACCAAATCAATTAATTCTTTCTTCCATGTTCAGAGCTCTAGGCCCCTGGTAGAAACATCAAGGGTGATTGCTAAATACCTAGTACTTTGGAACTATAAAACAGAATCTATATAATAGTAAACCTTTTTATTTTTTCTTCTACTAAATACGATTTCTCCCCTCAGGCTTGCTTTTGGAAGATAACCCTTCAATTCGTGCCATTACGTTGGGACATGGACATATCCTGGTGGGAACAAAAAATGGAGAGATCCTAGAAATTGATAAAAGTGGCCCAATGACGCTGCTCATTCAGGTACTGTGTTTGTTCATATTCTAAACCACAATTCACATCAAAGCCAGGACTAGGGCGAGGTGGAGGGGGAGTGGCGCTTAATGTGCAAAATTTAAAGAGGCATTGACTCTCAGAGTTGTACAAGTATTAATTACCTATAGTTGTGTAACAAAGTGCCACAAACCCAGGAGCTTGAAACAGCACACATTTATTAACTTATGATTTTTTGTGGATCAGAAGTTTGAGCATGGCTTAGCTGGGTCCTCTGAGGTTCTGCAAGGCTGTACTGAGAGCTAGGCTGCAGTCTCATCTGAGGGTCAACTGAAGGATCTGCTTCCAAGGTCATTCAGGTTAGCAGAATTCAGATCCTCGTGGTTGTAGGACTGAGGGCTTCCATTCCTTCCCGGCTGTTGGTGAGAGGCCACCTTCAGCTCCTAGAGGCTGCCCACAATTCCTTGCCATACAGGGTTCTCCAACTGGCTCCTTACTTCCTCAAATCCAGCAAGGGAGAGAGAAAAAATAGGCACTGAAGTCTTATTTAACATAATCATATCATTATGTACATATAATCATAAACATCCATTACTTTCGCCATGTTATTGATTGAAAACAAGCCACAGGTCATGCCACACTCAAAGGAAGTTGATTATACAAGAGCATGACAACTAGGAGGATCGTGAAGGTCACTTTAAGAGTTTGCCCATCACAGATCATCCTCTGCTCCCCAGTTCTTCATGTTCCCACCCATTTAAAGTTTATTCCCCCTCCCAAGGTCTCCAAGAGCCTTATCCCATTACTGTAGCTGCTCAGAGCCCATAATCTCATCATCTAAATCAAGTGCAGGTGTGCCAAAGGCTCCTTAGGTGTAGTTCCTCCAGGTCTGTCAATCTGTAAAACAATTTCTCTGCTCCACACACACCAAACATATAAGCACCTCTTTAGATTTTGTACTTCACTCTAGCCTCTGTCTTGATTTGCATAAACATATCACGTACTCCTTACCCTCCCTCTGCCCTCAAGAATTATATATAGGTAAAATCAGATTAAAATAATTAACTCTAAATCCTCAAAGATCAAAGAAGTGATAAAATCTTACCTGAGAGCATAATAGTAGGTGAGTAGGTAGCCCTGCCCAATTTGGTGATGGATAGGACTTATTTATAGATGAAAGAGGCAGGGGAGGTGAGAGGGTGTGTATTCAGAAGGTGGAGTGAAAGAATGGGCACTGATTATATAAGCTTCAGGATTTCTGTGTGTCCAATGGAGGAGCTTCATCCACTTCCCCTGACTTGACTCATGCCTGTGAGTTTGCTATATTAGGGATGAATCCCAAAATCCCACTGAGAGGGACCCTCTGATTGGCTACATCCTGGGAACAGGTCTCCACACAGGTCATGGCTCAGAACACTATGATGTTTTAGAAATGCATGTGCTCAAGTCCCGCTCTGGATATCCCACCATAAGAATCAATGTATTAAAAACAAACTTTGAAGCTCTGTGGCTGACTGCCGGGCAGCCAGATTGAGAACTATGCTGGACATGCGTCCTCGAAGCGTGACTTCTTTGTTCTCCAGCTGCTCATGTTTTTGTCGTTTCCTGCTAAACTAATTTATTTTTCTTTCTGTCTGTGACTTCTTATTCATTTTATTAAAAAAGCCTTTATTTCAATTTTAAAAATTTAGTCTTTTTAATTTATCACTGATTTTTTAAATCCCCAAATGTTTGACTTTAAATTGTTTTCACACATGCTTATTTTACTAAATATTTTATAAGATTTATACCATAATACTGTAATTTTAAAAATACTGTAAGATTTAAACTCTAAGTTTTCTAACTTTAAACTCAAAGTATTATGTTATAGTTGAGCCAATTTTGTTTAAATATGTTTTAAATTTGACAATAAAGGCTTTTCACTTTTTTGTTCTCTAGGATTCTATTATATATTTTTTCTATTCTAATAATAAAAATAATCACAGGTACTATTTATTAAACACGTACTATGTGTCAGGCAATACTATTGTACAAAATTTCTCATCTCTACAACAGATTCATTCAGTTGAAATTGTTTTATTGATGAGGGGCCCCAAGCCCAATAAACCATCCACAGCCACCTGCTAAGAACTGCAGAGCTGGGATTCAAACTGAGGTCTGTCAGATACTGAGCCCCTCTTTTTAACTATAGCAGGCTGTTCTCTAAATGTCTCAGCAGGGAAACCACAGGAAAGCAGTGCAGAATCATGGTCCCCTGAGCTTCGGGTGGGCGGTGGGACCGTCTTCTCTTCTTACATGTGTACCATTCATTTCCTTTATTCTCAGTCTCTCTTTCTTCTTCTGGTGTATCACTCATTTGCCTGTCTCTTCTAGGTAGAACTCAGTAGTTGAATTCAATCAATGTTAGTTCTCCCGCCAAGATCTGCTCTGTGTTGTGTGCTGTGCATGGTGGAGTAGGACTTCCTGTGCTCTCAGGGCTCACAGTCCTGCTCTGAGATAGGGTAGGCACTGAGCAAAAGTTAAGGAACAGTAGAGGCAGCATGATTAAGATCATCAGCTACCCTGCTGGGGGACCATATCGGAACCACTTTTCCATTTTCAAAAGCCTGGCAACCCAGTATCACTTGGAATAGATTGCTTACTTAAGAGAAGGATAGCTAGGTTGGGGGAGGAGAGAATTGACACAAGGTGAGTTCTGACAATTTCCATTGCATATACTTTGAGTATAATCAATGCAATTATGGGTATCATCACCTTTATGGGTGATCAGTAGGAAAGTAAGATCCCAAGCTCATTTCCTTGTGCCACTCAAGATTCTTCCAACCTGCCTTGCTTACTGTCCATTCCTGTTATACAGGAATTAAAATAATCATATTCAATTAAATATTTTTAAATCAGTTTATGAGCAGTAGTTTGAAAGGATTTCAGAGCTCCACAACCTTGTCTTCAAGCAAAATGAACAAAGAGCTCCAAACAGCTCCAGTTTTGGGGAGACATGGGGGTTGACCTCCTGACCCATCCTCTGAGTGTGACCTTGGAAGCTTCTGAAAGAAAGAAAACTAGGGATGCAGGGTGCTCCAAATCCAATAAATCCAAAAACAATATCTACACCCTTCTCAGATATTTGAATGTCAGCTGTGTTTGGAACTTTGTGCCTTCTGCCAAATTACTATTTTGCTCAAACAGCTTCCCAGTTAAACCGGAATCATTCAACTTCTCTTTGGAAAGCCACCTGCTCCCTAAAGCATTCCAACTGCAAACACCTTTCAGATGCCTGTATATGGTCTTCCTTTCTGCTTTACTAAGCAAAGCCTTTTTGTAATTAGTCACCAAAAGCAGAAGTTCAGTAAACAATCTAGTCTGTTTTATTGCTCTGTACACTAATCTATTCTTTACACTGCTTTATTGAGCAGTAAGTTATTGAAATCAGATTCATTTTCTCCCTAATTGTTCATTTTTAAATACTGTATTATTTCAGTTATTATTCTAAGCCAGTTAAGTGTGTTTTTGATAAAATGTAAGTATATGGAATTGGTCCAGTCCCTAGCAGGTACCTTTCAGTTGTCCAGTGTTCGCTGGATAGACCAATTTGTGAACAAATGCTGAACCCAGGACGCCTGAAATAAAAATCTAGCTCTCTTTATTTCTGTTCTGCCACATGCTATACATTCAAAGGACTAAAACTGAATTAATAAGAATATTGCTGTCCAATTCCTCTGACAAAGATAGGTGGTACCTATATTTTTCAGAATATGTTTTATTGAAGTGGTTTGCGTTGTTGTGATCAAGCTGTTTTACAAAGACATATGTATGTACTATGTTTATTCAATGTCAAATAACAGGATAAAATAAGGACACTTCATTATCCACCCAGAAGTTTCTAAATGAGAAGATGTTTGGCATCATGTAAACCAAATTTATACGTGATGAGACCATATTTTGCTTTCCAAATGAATGCTTTCACATCATGTAGATTCAGGTTCAATGAAAAATTCACAGCAATCATTTTGGCTCAAGGAAGCTCAAACTGTGTTTATTACTATTTGAGCCTTTTTGGAATACTCTTGGGCTGAATATGTAGCACAAGGCTGTTGAAGGGCAAGCTGAAAAGCATGAACTAAGTTGATGTTGTCCAACTTCCTCTCCCACAGGGGCACATGGAAGGAGAAGTGTGGGGGTTGGCAGCTCACCCTCTCCTGCCCATCTGTGCAACAGTGAGTGATGATAAAACCCTTCGCATCTGGGAATTATCCTCCCAGCACCGTATGCTGGCGGTACGGAAACTCAAAAAAGGTATGTGACATCACCTTACACATCTGTAAAAGTATTTACAAACAACAGAATGTGTTGGATTCATTTATCCATTTAACTAGTATTTACTGAGAGCCCCCAAATATGCTAGACAATGGGAATTCAGTGTTTGCTGCTATAGTCATAACCCAGCACCTGTAGAATTATTCCAGGAGGCTGGCCTGATCCATCGGTGCCCAGCTCTGTGAGTCACTTGATTTTCCTTGCACTGCACAGACATTTGCCACCTGGGGGCAATATGTCCTTCTCATCGGGAGCTTGAGAGTCAGTTGAAATACATCAGCTTGTAAAGAATGCTGTTTATCTTTATGTCTGACAGTCTCCAGAACTGATTTCATTACTGAAAAACAAAAATCAGCTGTACCAAAAAATCAAGAAAGGAGTAAATATGTACTGAACACCTAGCTGCACTACAACTCAGAGGTATATCAAGATGTACAAATTTAGCAGACATTTACTGAGTAGCTTCTCTGTGTCAGGCACTGGGGATGGCAGGATGACTGGTCCTATCTCTAGTTTCAGAGGTGGACAAGATTTGAACAGAGTCCCAGCAACAGATGGTGAATTCAAATTGGGTAATTTGAGGAGAGTCTGAAAACAGGACTATTTATAAAGAGGTAGGTAGGATGTTGAGAAACGACTGGGGACAGTGCAGTATTATGATGCTCTTAATGGCTAGGTACCATTTCCAGCCCTGGGCCTGAAGAGGCTGGAGGAAGGAGTGATTATTGGAATCTGCAAATGAGAGCTGTGTGAAACAGAAGCCTGGCAGCAGCTATGACCATCAGCCCAGAGATTTAGCTGTATGCAGTGACCTCACAGAGAGGCAGCTAGGGGAATACATGTAGCCTCCCTCTCTCCCTTCTCCTGCCTGTGTTCTTCTTGCCCAAACCCAATCGGGAGCCAGAGGAGCCCATTGAAACAGTCTATACAGGCTAGGTTCAGGCATAGAGCAGGTTCGAGAATGGGTGTGGAGAGACAAAGCTATCTGGCCCAAACAAACAAGGTACCATGGAGGCTCAGAGGAAGGCCTGCTGCCAGCGGTGGCTTCGTCAAGGAAGAAACATGAGATCTGAGACCCAAAGGATTTGCAGAAGTCCTTAAGATGGGAAAGGATGAGATTGGGATCTGGTGCTAAAGTATTTGTACTGGGCAGTTTTATAAGCAGAAACATCAGGGATGTGTTCTAAGGGGACGAAATAAAGATGTCAGGATAGCAGGAACAACAAGGATGCTGACTGATATTGTCAGCAACTGCACTCACACTTTGTGTTTGGTCTTCATGGGATCCCAGAGAAAAAAGCCATTATTTTACCACCTAAAAATTTAGGGAACTGAGGCATAGAGAACTTAAGTCACTTGCCCAAAGTCCTGCAGCCTGTAAATGATGAAACTGAATTCTAACCCTGGCAGCGTGGCTTCAAGGAGCACACCCGCGGCCACTGCGTGATGCTGCCTCCTCCTGGCATATTGCTTCTTTTTACACTGACTTCCAGGCCTTTGTAAATGGTGAAGCCAGGACTCAAATCCAGCTCTGACTCCAGAGTCCATGCTCTTAACCACTACAAGATCGAATCATTTGGCCACTGATTTATATTGAGGAAATGACAGACCGAGTCCTTATTGCAAGGGACTTGAATGTCAGACAATGGACTTTATTCACTAGTTAAAAATCAGTTCAAAAGAACACTACATTAGATAAGATGACCTTTCAGCCCAGTTTATAGCTGTTGTCCTGGTGTAATTATTTATAGCTTTCCTTCTCACTCTCAGAAGTGTCCTGGTTTGTACAACAAATTATATGGTTAACCTAATCTTGGTAACTCTCCTCAAGGGCAGGCTCCCCTTGGACCTGCACCATGCCTGACTCACTGTAGGTAATTGTTTGCTAAGTGAATGAATGAGTGAAGGAAGATAAAATTAAGAGAGCTGATGTAAAGTTATTGGTATGGACATAGCTTTCAGCATACCATGAATAGTGACCGAGGGGTGTGTGTATGGAAACTCAGCTTGGAGTGCCTTAATACAAGGTTGCATGCCTGTCCCACCCCTGGGTCTGTGCTTACTTAAATCTCACAGCGAGAATGGGGAAAGACATATTCTCAAATAGGATTCCTAGTCAGCATACCCCCCGCCAGAGTCCCTACTCCTTGCTCAGAAATGTCTCCCTGTCACTCTCCAAAGCAGAGGAAAACATTGCTCAGGCAGCCCCATCTCCCTGTGATTAGTTTTACAGACACCTCTTGAGAGAATGTTGTGCATATTCCATTCTTCTCATGATAGAAGAGGCAAGAACAAAATCACCTCTAGCATTATGTATTGTGACCCATGGATCTGAGAATTGGAGTGACTAGGAGTAGAGCAACAAGGTTCTCTAAAACAAGCTTTATGTGTAAGGCATGGTATAAAAAATAGTTTCTAGAAATTTTATTACAGAAATCCTGTTCTTATATATTACTTCTTTTTGGGAGCAAAGATACTGGTTATGTTAATCTTTTGAAAACCCCAAGTATTCAGATGCCAAGAAATGAGTGGATACCCTCAAAGCAATTGAAAATGTATTTTTAGCATTATGATTATTGTGTTTGTGTTTGGAGGGAAGAGTTTTTTTTTTTAAATTATGAAGTTTTAGTTCTTCTCACAAGTAGTGTTAAAGGCAGTCATATGTCCATGCATAACGCACATATACAAGTTTCTCCATCTCTTCATTTGGTTGTTTGACAGTAAAGTTATGGATAATAACACTGTTTCCTGTGGATTCTTTTGCAGGTGGAAGATGCTGTGCCTTCTCCCCTGATGGGAAAGCCTTAGCAGTCGGCCTGAATGATGGGAGTTTCCTGGTCGTAAACGCTGACACTGTTGAAGACATGGTCTCCTTCCATCACAGAAAAGAAATGATCTCGGATATCAAATTTTCAAAAGGTAAAGATGACAGCAAAAACTTTTTAAAATGTGTTGGGACAAAAAGTTACAATCGTGGACTATTTTCATTATTCTTGACCTTTTTCCCCACTTAAGAATACTAAGTTCCTGGAAGTAAATACTTCTACAAAATGTTTTGATATTAACTGCATGTTTTTCTTTATAGATACAGGAAAATACCTTGCCGTGGCATCCCATGATAACTTTGTGGATATTTACAATGTACTTACAAGCAAAAGGGTTGGCATCTGTAAAGGTGCTTCTAGTTATATTACTCATATCGACTGGGACTCTAGAGGTAATGTATGTTGTGGCTTTAAATGTAATTTTTATTTTAAAAATCAGCGTCTATTCACATATTGTTTCTAGAGAGAACGGCAGTTGACTTTTAAAGAAAAACAGAGAAGGGGACCCCACAACAATGTAAACGACTATAATTTTATAACCTAAAGGCGATACTGTTAATATTTTTGAGTACTTTTCCATATTGTTGTTTTTGTTGTTGTTAAGCCATTGAGTTTTGAGAGAGTTAAAGATGTATATCATAACTTCTGTTACCCTAGCAAGCCACCACCTCCCCTTTGAGGTTCTACACGCTGTGTCCTTGCCTTGTGTTTCCTCCTTATTGCTGTCCCTTTTCCTCCCAATGTTCTACCTCCCAACGAACTATCCAAGAAGTCTCAAGCAATTTCCATCCTCCAGCAGAAGCAGAAAGCTACCTTCACCTCACCTAAAGTTTCTCTGGTTTCTTGAGCTCCCAATCTAGCCTCTAAGTCATGCTCACAAACACCATGGGGATATGTCTGTTTGTTCATTTATTTAACAAATTTCACTTCTGCCATTTGCAAAGTCTTAAGCCAGAAAATGTGGAAGATCCAGAAGTGAGACATGGTTCCTGCTCATTGCAGAGTTTAATCATTTACTGAGGACAGACATGCTTGTACCTGAAGAATACAAGAGCACAAACTGGGGGAGGCACAGGAGTAAGATGTGGTGAGCGGGGGTCTTGGAGTGGGCAAGTCAGCATTAAGCACCCAGGGTGGAGTGCCAGTGCTATAGGGTAGGACACTTTTAAATCTCATGCTGGGAAATTGGCTGATGTTAGAGTCTGGAGCAGGTGTTTAGGAAAGGGCAGGGTCCTAGCTCTCAGAGAAGTTTTAGTCCATTGTGGTAGAAGAGCACCAAGCGCAGTGGTGTATTCTGAGGAAGAGCTCCCAGGGGAATCATGGAGCCTTTACAGAAGGAGTGACTTTTTAGATGGATCTTAAAGGATGAGCATAAATTCACCTGATGGCAAAGCCTTCCAGGCTTAGAAGAAACACGGTGTGCCAAGACATGGAGGTGAAAGTGCAGGGTGATTAAGAAATAGTAATGCTGAGTAGCTGAGGGTATGAAGGGAGACGAAATGTGAAGGAACTTTTATGTCACAAGTGGAAGTTGAACACTGAACTTTATCCTATAGGCATTAGGTAATTCTAAGGGACTTGGGGTGGGGCATTTCCTACCATCTTAGGGAGAGTGAGTGGGCCTGGAGTTGGAAAGCAACTAAAATAAACCAGGATAAAGAGATAATGAGCACCTCAACCAAAAAGAGATCATTTCAGAGTTGCCAAAATATTTTATTTCGGGTATTTCTTGAAGTAGTTGCCATAAACTGATTCTTCTGCCAAGGCAGATCTTTAGTTGTAACTGTTCTTGCTACACTGAAATTAAGACTTTAAGCTTTACAACCTGCAAGCATTTTATACAATGCAATAGAGAGGAAGATAACATGCCATTTATGGTAAGAGACAAGCCCAGCAGGAGCAAAGGGAAATTAGATAAGTCCTTTTCACTTTCCTGTCAGGGGCATGGCAGACCGAGTGCCAAGGACTTAGGCTGGCATTTGTGATTGGGCAGGACACCAGGTGCTTGAGACTCATCTAGGAACCAGTGTGGTTGAGGGGGTGTATGGATGCAGCAACTTCTCAACCCCCTTCTTGGATATTTTATTTATTTGTTTGTTTGTTTGTTTAATATAAGTGGAGTACTTCATATAAGTGGAGTCATATAGTATCTGTCTTTTTGCGACTGGCTTATTTCACTTTGCATAGTATCCTCAAGATTCATTCAAGTTGTAACATGTGTCAGAATTTCTTTTCTTTTAAAGGCCAGATAATACTCCAGTGTATGTACCACATTTTGTTTATTCATCCATCAGTGGCTATATGGGTTGCTTCCACCTTTTGGCTGTTGTGAATCTTGCTGCTATGAACATAGGTGTACAGTTCTTTTGAGTATAAACTCAGAAGTGGAAATTCTGGACCAAAGGATAATTCTCTTTTTAGTTTTTTGAGGAACCTCACCATACTGTCTTCCACAGAGGCCGCAGCACTTTACATTCCCACCAACAATGCATGAGGGTTCCAACTTCTCTACATTCTTGCCTGTGCTTGGTGGTTTTCTGGGGTTTTGTTGTTGTTGTTTTTATAGCAGCAATCTTAATGGGCGTGAGGTGGTTTCTCATTGTAATTTGATTCACATTTTGAGAGGATTTTTTTTATTCCGTAAATGTGTAAGCTCTGTATTGGATACTATAGGGATATAAAGAAGAGTAAGTCCCAGATGGAAAGAACAAGATCTTGGCCAAGATCAGGGGGTTGAGGCTGTGGGGAGGCTGGGTAAAGGTCTGTATGTGGGCCTTCAATGTGGAGCCATCACTTGGTAGAGAGAGGCAAACCTCGCTATTTCTATAATTCTGCCCCAAATAGTTAGCATCTGTGGTCCAGCTAGTGCTCAGGATGATGGCAAAGGACTGAGAGTAAGGAGGCTGAAAAGCCACCTTGCCTCTGTCTTAAGCAGCCCCTTCAGTCAGATGAGAGGATCAGATCGAATGGTTTGTAGGACTGAGAAGAGAACAGAATACTTTTGATCTTGAGGGAGGAGTTATACCATCTGGAGAATAAGAGCTAGTGTGCCCGTGAATATTTCCTGGTTTATCTCCAGGTTCATTGCCGTGAGATATGTCATTCTGACATTCTTATGTTCCTGATTTCTTAGTTACACAAATGCCTGACCTCAAGAATGTTCCAGACTGCCTCAAGACCAGTCTAGCTTTTCACAGTGGTGCCTCGAGGGTCTGCAAAGGGTAGAGAGCAAAATTTAGGAGCAGGAATCTGTTTTATTCCTTTGATCTTGTCAAAAATGGTGAACGCGTTTGCCAAGCCAGCTGGCATGTCAGGGGCGGGGAATAGCACAGCCCTCAGCCTTGGCAGCCTTTTGTGTCCATGGCAACCACAGGTCCTAGGAAAACCAAAAAATGCATCAGTCCTTTGCAGAAACAACAGCTATCCATGAATGAAAGCTCTTGCACGGAATGCTTGAGAAAGAAAAATATACATGGAGAGAGAGAAAACATGGAAGGATATTTTCTAGCTGCTTTTACATTCCTCATATTTCTAGAAATATGAGGAATGTAAAACCTTTTAACAATTGAGCCCTAATAGGAAATCTCATTCCCATTTTCATTGCAAATGGTCTGATATGTTTGGTACATTTAGTACCAATTTTAGAATTGTTCTAACGTGTAAATTATATAGCAGCTGGGATGATGTGTGTGAATCATTTTGTGGACTGTAAAGCTCTATGCACATAGAAGATACGTGATTAACTATACCTGCTTAGAAATGAGGCCATCTGTCTCTTTCAATTCTCTTATTCTGTGTGACTAGATATTTTTAGTGAATAAAAATGTGAGGATTCTGAAAGAACAGGGTTACTATTATTCAGGGGTAAATCATACATGGATTATACAGACTTTGTGCTCCTTGTTTCTGCTCCTGTCCTCAGAATATTTCAGTAGTTATATATTACACGGAAGCAGGCAGGGAAAAAAAAGTGGTGACCTAAATATTTCCTCTACACCTAAAACAAAAAATCAGTGTAACAGAGCAGTAAAGAAAATTTGGGTGAAAAAATACACACCCGTAATTCCACCTTTTTAACACAAGAATAGTTGGTTTAAAAAAAAGTTCACATCATTGGTTGCAAGGAACAGGAACCTACTCAATCCAGCTTAAATTTTAAAATAATAATAAAAGATGAGTTTATTGGAAGGACATAGGGATATCTCATAGAATCCAGGAATAACAGGAAATAGCATCTCCCGAGGAACCAGCTTTAGGAATGAATTGGAAAAAGCCCAGAAACCAAGCAGGAAGTTCCTCTCCCCTCCTTTCCTGCTCTGAGGCAGCTCATTAAAGTGTCCACTGCTCCCCTTGGTCTGGTGTCTGCTTTTGGCCCTCTCTGCACAGGCAGGCTTTCCCTAATTCTTTTGCACATGGCCCACTCTCCGTTGCCCCCAAATGCCACACTCAGTCCCAAAGTCCACATTTAATTCCAGCAAAACACCCACTGATTCAGCCTCCCAGATTCCAATTTCCCAGGGAGAGAATTTGATTGCCCAGCCCAGTCTCTGGCCTGACCCCTTTTGGGTCAAGTAGAGGGCAATTCTCAGGGAAGGAGCATGGGCTAGGTAGGTCCCCACAGGTGTCTGTGGCTCTGTGGAGCACTTCTGGTCCTCGTCTCTTGAGTTTAGATTTTCTAATATTCTAAAGTACTTCACTGAGCTATTCTAATAGTTTTTGGTTTGTTTTTCTAAGTAGAATATGATCTTTGAAACTGGTATAAAGTAAGTTGTTAGGTTTATTTGAGAATTACAATCCTTTGAGTTCTGTTAGGATGCTATGGCCAAAAATCTTCTAAAATTAGCCATATTCAAGGAATGTTTTCATTGAATCCTTTAATCCTTTTTCCACATCCTTCGTTATTCACAATCACTCAAGAATCCTAAAAATATTTTTGCAGATATATTTAGTTCATTGAAAAACTATTGGTTACTCATTTTTTTTTATAATGCTAAATAGCCAAAGCTAATTTAATTCCCTTTTTTCTTTTCCCAGTTGTGTATGTTCAGCCATAAATTGTGCCCGTTTCACAGGAAACATTTTTAAATTCACCGTCAAGGGCAAACCCCCCTCACCACCTTGTTATAACTCAGCAGATTAAAAATGATTAAGGTTTTCAGTTATGAAATGAGAGAACCTTGTTTTTAATTAGTCACTTAGAAATAGATCTGCAATTCCTGAAGGTTAGCCAAGCTAGGTTTCCCACCCAGGTGGTGCCCACTTAACCGGTAAAGATGTAATACAAACCACAAAGTTCTTATTTTGGTATTATTTTTTCAAGAAGGACATTACAAGACTCCTAGCCATGAATAGTTATGGTAAAAAGAGGGGAGGAGAATGTTACGTATAGATACACTCAGTTATTCCACTGAGGTGGAATATTAGGCTGTCTGAGATTTGCTTCAGAATAATCTGGGGCGAGAACCCGAGTGGAGGTTCAGGAACTACGGTTGGCCGTGTGCTGGTAACTGCTGAAACTGGACCTTGGGCACATAGGGGTTCTTTATATTATTCTTACTTTCGTATGTGTTTGAAATTTTCCATAATTAAAAAAAAAATGCTAAAAAAGCACTAGAAAGTATACTTCTTAAGTCATTTAAATTTCAAGCCATAAAGGATTATTGACGTGGTAGAGGAGAATTAGGAAATCTAATCTTTTCAACATCAATCAAAATGAAACCAAGACTATAATTTTACATCAGACCGAAAGACTATTTTTGCTCAACATTTTGTTTTGAAAAAGTCTTGGATTTCTCTACAGATTTTCAAGTGAGATGGAGGAGGGGAGAGGGGAAAGAGCGTTCACAGTTTGTTTTGTGTGCCTTTGTTTTCATGTTTCTAAACTCTAAAGGGCAAATTTAGAATTTAGACCTGAGCAAATGTGAATGCTTGCAACAAGTTTCTCACTTCTGAATTCATAATTCTTGCCAAAGCAGTTTACTTTTACTACATTTCTGTGCTAAGAGGCTACAGGGGGAAAGAACACAAAACAGATTTGGTCCGGCTTTGGAGAAACAGCTACTTTCATTACAACAGACTAAAGCGTAGCAAGTTTGATTCTTCTATCCTTAAAGAATGTCCAAGGTCAGATTTTACGAGGTCCATATTCAAAAAATCATAGCTTTGGAGTTTGTACCATGCCATGTAATTGCCTCTACATACATTTCTGACTAATTCACCATATAGTTAGTCAATTCATGAGACTGACTAAAATGAATCAAAATAGTTGCAGCCACACTTATCACTTTATAATGAAAAGATACATGCAGGGTTTAATTGTCTCTCTACTTTATTCTGTCATAACAGGAAAATTATTGCAAGTTAATTCGGGTGCCAAAGAACAACTGTTTTTTGAAGCTCCAAGAGGCAAACGGCATATAATAAGACCTTCAGAGGTAACAGTCATACACAAAGATTTAACAAATATATTTCATGAAGATTCAATATGTGCATTTTAATAAAACCTATCAATTCTTATTCATTAATATGAGTTACATTTAGTGTACCTTTATACTTGACCATTTCTTAAATCTGGTTGTTTAATCTGGTTTTATACTTTCTGAGGACGTACGAATTTACTGTATCACTGATGCAGCAATGCACACATGGCATTCTGCTTAATTTTTCTGTGCCCGATGATTGTGGCTAAGCTAACAATTTATATGCTTTCCCTTCACCATGTTGTTTTGTGCAAAATGTCTTATAAACATAAATTTTTGAAACATAGTTTCCCAATATTTACTATTTGTAATGATAAGCAATATCCTCTGTAATAATAAGACAAATGATCTTTTAAAGCAAAAACTATCCACGACCTGACCATCCTGATTTATCAAACTGTTTTTTTCCTTGTTTTCCTCATGTCCTTAGCTACATATATAATTTTTTAATTATTGAAATCAAAGCCTAGATAAAATTTTTGAATCCATGAACTACCACTTTCCTGAAAGCTCAGTTACACAGAGCTTCTATATAATTACCCTGATAGCCAAAAGGTCATTGCCCGATCGAGCTCTAAGAATGTTCTCTTAGTCCCAGGAGACAAAATGACTCGTTTATTTGCAATGTAACCCTTGATGAAAGAAAAGGAAATATTGCTTCCTTCAAGGAGAAATGGGTAAGAGTGCGCTGCTGAGGAATAAGCACCTGCCT